GTCCAGATACCCTCTCTTCTAATTATGAAGGATGCAAGTTTGAACGAGGACGACTGGATCCATACCCGACTTGATCAGCTGAACTTAATCGACGAAAAGAGACTTACTGCTATTTGTCATGGTCAGACGTATCAAAAGCGGATGATCAAGGCATTTAACAAGAAAGTCAGACGACAAGAATATCAAGTTGGGGATCTGGTGATCAAGCACATCATACTTCCGCAAGGTGATCTTAGGGGCAAATGGACCCCTACATACGAAGGGCCATTTGTGGTTAAGAACATTTTCTCAGGAGGAGCTATGATTCTAACCACCATGGATGGTGACGACCTCCCTCACCCCGTCAATGCAAACATAGTGAAAAAATACTATGCATAATCAAAGACCCGCTAGGTCGACTGGCCTAGGCAAAAATAAGGGCTTCCCGGCGAACCAAAAGGGTTCGGGAAAAATAAGGGATGAAAATGAAAAAAACTGTACACCCGGCAAGCCGAAAACCTGAAAAGGCGGCTTGGACAAAAAAGGGTATCCCGATGGACTGAAAACCCGAAAGGGCGGTCCAGGCAAAAATTAGGGATTAAAGCGTAACACTATGTCTCATTTGATCACCTTGCAACTAGACTTCGGTATCAACAATCAAGCTCAGACGACACTAATCAATCTAATCTACCTTCAACCAAGTAGCAAAGTGATGAGATACTCGAGGATTTAAGGGCAATAACAGAGTTGGAACCAAGTGGGATTGTTCACATAGCTGTTTTTCTTTCTTTTACACAAACTGTATAAACTCTATTGTTTGGCGGCATTCTCTTACTAGGACGTCAGCCTCTTGTACAAAAAACTCCTATTTTCAGGCCGACTTCAAAATTAATACAATTCATTTTCATAAAGAAATTTCAAATTATTTTCCTTTTTCTGTTTTGTTTTACAAGAACATCCAATGGTTCATTTTTGATATATGCATTCGATAATAATTGCTACTCATAAATATTTACCTGCGAAACAAAAGACGATTACTCGTAATATCAGAAACAGGGGCAAACAAGAAGTGTCTAAACCATACAGTTGCTTAGTCCACCAGGTATAGGGATATACCTAGTTGGAGGAAACGATTGAATGTACATTCACTCCCCGCGGAGTAAGAAAAATATAGTGATATTAGCGGCCCCGAACAAGACACCACTCTCCCCAGCTTAGGCTCGCAACCACGAATGAATCGGTGATATTCTCCCCAAGCAGATTTTATCTATCATCAGCATTATAAAATCATCCCCAGTGGAATTTGGAGAATTATCCCCAGTAGATTCTGGAGGATTGTCCCCAGTAGAGTCTAAAAGATTATCCCCAGTAAGGTCGCAACTGGAAAATCATCCCCAACGGAGTTCATTCCTTTCACAAATAGAAACTCATTTCCCAACAGAGTTTATCATCGCCAGCATCAGTAATTTATCCCCGGCTGAGTTTATTCCTCCAAATCAACAGATCTTCTAGCAGAAACATCTCTTCCCCACAGAGTCATTTCCTCGTCAGTCTATTCCCCAGCGGAGTTATTCTCTCCTGCAAGATTATTCTCACAATCATCTTCATTCACTGTCCCCAGCGAGAGCGAAGAATTCAACTCTTTTCTCCAGCAGCAATCCCGGATTTATTTTCCCCAGCTAGAGAGCATCATAAAAACATTACATATCCATACATCAGGACATACGCATAAACATCATACAACACAATCTCATTTATTTTGAGAACATCATTGCTTAATACATGTCATGCATTACATACAACTAACCTTTACCTTTCATGAAAGATACGATCAAATTCTCATAAAATTCAAGCTATGAAGCCCGGGTTCGACCGGATAGTATCTTGATTTCTACAGCATATTGTGAAGCCTGGATTCAACCGGATAACAGCATCAAGCACCGCAAAGCCTGTATTTGACCAGATAGTGGTTTATCTCTAAGCTATGAAGCCAGGATTCAACCGGATAATAGTTTAATCCCCAACAAGCCGTGAAGCCCGGATTACGACCGAACAACAGCTCAGCAAGTTATTATGAATCCTGGATTACGACCAGATAGCAATATAAGTTCCTGTGAAGCCTGGGTTACGACCAAATAGCAGCCAAAGACACTGCGAAGCCTGGATTACGACTAGATAGTGGTATATCTTTAACACAAGTTATGAAGCCCAGATTACGACCGGATAATATCTTGATTTCCTCCGAACACCATGAAGCCTGGATTTCGACCAGATAGTGGTATGAGACATCGCGAATCCTAGATTACAACCAGATAGCGATAAAAGACACTATGAAGCCTGAATCATGACCATATAGTAGTTCATTTTCACCTCTTCGACGAAGAGATGATTCCTCAGTAGAATAACGGACGACAGAAGTTCCTAAAATTCAACAGAGATGTTTCCTCAGTAGAATAACGGACGACTGAAGTTCCTAAAATTCAACAGAGATGATTCCTCAGTAGAATAACGGACGACCGAAGTTCCTAAAATTCAACAGAGATGATTCCTCAATAGAATAACGGACGACCAAAGTTCCTAAAATTCAACAGAGATGATTCCTCAGTAGAATAACAAACGACCGAAGTTTCTAAAATTCAACAGAGATGATTCCTCAGTAGAATAACGGACGACCGAAGTTCCTAAAATTCAACAGAGATGGTTCCTCAGTAGAATAACGGACGACTGAAGTTCCTAAAATTCAACAGAGATGATTCCTCAGTAGAATAACGGACGACTGAAGTTCCTAAAATTCAACAGAGATGATTCCTCAGTAGAATAACGGACGACCGAAGTTCCTAAAATTCAACAGAGATGATTCCTCAATAGAATAACAGACAACCGAAGTTCCTAAAATTCAACAGAGATGATTCCTTAACAAGAATAACGGACGACCGAAGTTCCTAAAATTCAACCTTTCTCAAAACAGAGATGATACCCCAGTAGAATAACGGACGAATGAAGCTCCTAAAATTCTATTTCTCTCAAGACAGAGACAACATTCCTCAGCGGAATCTTCCTCAACAATAGGTATACAAGCTCTCGCTAAGGAATCTCTTAAGCAATCGACACTCCTTCAGATGGCATCTTTAAGCCCATATCCCGTCAGCGATTCCCAAATGGAATCTATAAGCCCATTCCCGACACCGTAAGACAGACACCACTTCATGCGAGTGCAAATTTCTGGGCACTCTAGTGTTCAATCATCTTCAACCCTCAGATCACGAAAGGCAGACAAGCCAATCTAAATCTTCAGGTTTAAAAAGATTGAACAGGGGCAGTTGTTATACCCCAAAATTTTTCCTCCCATATTTCTCAAAACATTTCAAGAAAGATCCTCAAGTTGCTCAAAGAAGTCCAAGGGTTGACCAGACAAGCTCTCTCATAAGGCAGTCTACCTCAAATTAGGGTTTCATATTGCATCAAGTTACTTGAGTCCAAGGGATCCCAAATGCTCAACATTGTCCTAATTGTAGCGGTGAAAATCGGAGATCAAGCTATTAATTAACTTGACTCACAAAAGCAAGAGTCGCCACCGCGCTTTATTATTTCCAAGGGAAAAGGGAAAAGAGCGAAATAAAACCCTAAAATATGCAATGTAAAGTAATACTTAAAAGTAATGAAAATACAATGCGTTTTTAAAAGAGATTGAGAGTTCGGGGGTTGGTTATACAATGGGAAGGTATTACCACCCAATGCATCTGCGGTACTCCGCAGGAACCTTTTGAAATATCTGTTTTTTGGTTAAAATTGTTTGTTTGATTAAAATGGTTCGTTTGGCTAAAAACCGGTGTTGGAGAGATTTTGAAGATACGACGACCTGATGTTGAAGTTTGGATTTAAAAGGGGTGTGAGTTTGAAAATGGAGTCTTTTGGGAAAATTATCTTGAGTTTAGCAAAATAGTAAACAAACAAAAAAAATGAAAAAAAGGGTATTCGCGCGATCGGATGAGATGTGTTTGATAACATGAAGTCAACAAATTTAATTCTTTCCCTTGGAGTAAATCGAGCAAGTAAGATAAGATGAATCCACAAAGTATAAGCATTCAAAAATTCACAAGAAAAACAAATCTAATGAAACAGATTAATGACCAAAAGCATCGAGAAATTAAAATGACAAAGATATTTAAATAGAATAAAAGAGAATGTAACTAATTATCTAAAGAAGTTATTTGAACTAAATTAAAAATTACTTACTAAAATAATTCTAAACTAATTACAAATTCTAAGGTTATATAAAAAAAATCTAGTATTATTGAATTTGATCTAAACTAAACTATAGCTTTAAATTTTAGTAAGTTAAATCTAAATTAAAATCCTAAGATTACTAAATTAAATCTAAAACAAATGAAAATTTCAAAGTTACTAAACTAAATCTAAATCAAATAAAATTCTAAAACTACTAAACTAAATTTAAATCAAATAAAAACTCTAAAGTTATTAAACTAAATAAAAATTATAAACTTATTAAACTAATTCTAAATCAAATAAAAATTATAAATTTATTAAACTAATTCTAAATCAAATAAAAATTCTAAAGTCACTAAACTAAAACTAAACAAATAAAATTCTAAAGTTAACTTAAATAAAATCAAATAAAATACTAAAGTTATTAAACTAAAACTAAACAAATAAAATTCTAAAGTTAACTTAAATAAAAATCAAATAAAATTCTAAAGTTATTAAACTAAACTAAAACAAATAAAATTCTAAAATTTACTAAATGAAATAAAATTCTAAAGTTATAAAATAAATCTAAACTAATTAAAGAATTCTAAATTAATATTAAACTAAATTAATTATAAGATTTACTAATATATTTTTTATTTTTTTATAACTAATTAAAAGGAATTTAATTGCATTAACCTAAATGTTTAAAAGTATAAAGAAATAGAAAGGGGTGTATAAGCATGTTATCGGCCCTTTAGGCCCAAACTCAACATAAAGACACTAACCCTAATTTCTAATAATAAATAATGAAATTAAACTAAAAAAAACAAACACACCACACCTTGGGGCGGCGCATGCTGCTGTGTCCTTGAACCATTCTTCAAGGATAGTTCAGTACTAGCAACAACATCCTTGGATGCTTTCTTGCCAACATTCAGAGCACATACACACTGGTCATACAACTCTGGCAGTACTAGGTCTTCTGAAATGTCAAGTTTGAAAAGGTAGAAACGGGTAAAAAGAGAAGAATTGTCTTCAGGTATCAAAGTATCAGGCACCTTTTCAAAATCAGTTGTGGTCAAGGAGTTCAAAGGTACTTTTTTTGGAGAACTGACACTGGACAACTTTGTTTCAGGAGATTTTTCATGAGATTCATCATGTTTGTGTTCTTCCTGAGCCCGAGTGGTCTGGTGAGGCACACCATTGTCAACAGCAGGAACCGATTCATCTTTGCAGGCTGGTGAAGGCAAGTCTTTCTTTGAATCGCTATTCTGTTCTTTCCAATTCTCAGAACCAGACTCCCATCCATGGCTATTTGTTGGGTGCCTGCTTCTATCCCAATCAGAACCACCATACATATGAGGATCATCTCTGGAAATCCCATTATTGTTGTTATCCCATCCATGCAGATGAGCAGGACCTGTACCATCCATCATATTTGGCCACCCAAGTGGGCGCAAGTGACCTGGAAACCTGTCAGCATCAGCAATATGGTAGGGAATACCAGCATGGTTAACATCCAATGGAGCCCTAACGCCAAAGAGAGGTTGAGATGAAAACTGTGGCATCATTGTTTGAAAAGCTCCATGACCTGGCCCAGGTGGGAAGGGAACAAATCCATTTGGTACATGTGAAGTCCAGTTTGGAGCTGCCCTCCAGGAATTGCCTCCATGCGCTCTTCCAAAGGCAGGTTCATTACTTCTCCTGTATCGTGTATTAGAGTTATCTCCACCATCATCCTCTAAAGAACTCATATAGGGTCTGTCTAGTGCAGCTCTGAAACCATGTGGGGGAGGAATTACTGGTGGGAGCGGTTTGTAGCGATTGGCGGAGGGAGTATTGGTTGGGTTTTGTGAACGGTTGGTTTACGGAATGAAAAGGGAGGACGGTGGGTGTGGAAGTGGACTTTGTTGAAGTCATTGTTTTGGCAAAACGGGTGTTTGAATTTGATGGAAAAATTGAGTCTTGTGATTCTTTTAATTGGAGGGTCAAAATTGGGTGGGGTTTTGAGGAAAGTGGGTATGTACAATATGTTTGGTACCAGTGAAACAGAAAGATTGCTGAGAGACAAGTACAAGCAGGTAAGAGAGATGGATTGGAGAATTGGTTTATGTTGTTGTTTTTGTGAATGATAGTGGAGAGAGAGATAGGCTTTAAATAGGAAAATGAAAAGGAGAAAAAATGATATCAAATTAATCATGTCCGTTCAAAATAAATTCAGTATGCATCAATCCGCAACTTTTGTCAACAACCAATAGAAATCAAGTATAGTGTAATTAATATTTTTTTATGACAAAAACGCCCTTAAATGATAAAAATGAAATAAAAACTGAAAGTATTAAAATTAACTCAATTTAAAATAATTTTTGGAGTTTTTCTGAATAAAAAATAAAGACCCAAAATGACCGAAAACGATAAAAAACGGACGAAAATTTATCCGAAAAAATAAAATGAACACATTAAAATAATCTACATGTCACAAAGATTAAAGAAAAAATATTCAAGAAGTCAAAAATAAAATGATAAAATATCAGGCTAATACGGACATTTACGGTTAAAAACGAGACTTCAAACTATACCGAAAAAATAAAGCGAGCATACCGTCATAATCTACGTGTCATGCAGATTCATAAAATGATCGGTAAGAGGTGAAAACTTGAAATATTTTTCTCGCTATCTTTTCGCACAATATTGAATCGCTTTTAATGGTCTGTCTATAAAACCAAAATATTTTTATTATTGACATATAAACAACTTGGAGCACTGCAAGAAAATAGTAAACAGATAAAAATGAATGAAGTGAAACGCCAGGTATTTTACAACTGAAAGACGATGCAAACTTTGATTTAAACTGACTTTTTTGATCAACTTAAATACGACTAATGATGCAAAATGTGATGATATGAAAGTGCGACTAAAGCATATTAGGGGCGAAATTTAGGGTGCGACAGTTGTGCCTTGATGAATCAGTCTTCGAGAATCCACAATCAACCATACTTCGGGCTTGGGAGAACCAAAACCTTAATTGAGGCGCGACACCTGATGCTCTTGATTCAGACCTGTCTCTGCACATGACACAAAAGAAAACATGAACATACACCTTTGTATGCGATTAGAAATTAGTGATACATATGCTAAAAATGTTCAAAACACTTGACAATTTTCGCATAGTCGAAGCTCGAAGGTGAGTCTTTAACCGACCGTATTTCGTGACCTTGAATTATCTTTAAAAAATGCAAAAATAAAAATGGGATCTTAGGTCAAAAATTGGGGTACAACAGCTGCCCCTATTTAAGTTTCTTCTATATGGAGATATGAAGATTGGGATCTTCATTTCGACGAGATTGAAGGGACTTAAATATAGAATATACAATTTTTGGCCTTAAGATACCGCAATTATGTTCATGATATGATATGAATGTAATGCTCTGAATTTTATGGGGAATGACGCCATATGAGTTAGACTATGTTGGAGAAACCAAGCACATTATACAGTAATCCCACAGAGGAAGAGGTTGTAACTCCACTGGGGAAACAAAGTCGTAGACTTCAAATGAGAGACTTTGGAATGATTTACATCAGTGTTGAGACTGGAAAAGAGATGATTTACATCAGTACGAAGACTGGAAAAGGTAATGATTTACAACAGTACTGTGACTGGAAAAGCATATGATTGACATCAGTACTGGGACTGGAAAAGGAAATGATGGACGTCAGTACTGAGACTGGAAAATGATTGACATCAGCACTGTGACTGGAAAAGGAAATGATGGACATCAGTACTGAGACTGGAAAATGATTGACATCAGCACTGTGATTGGAAAAGGAAATGATGGACATCAGTACTGAGACTGGAAAATGATTGACATCAGCACTGTGGCTGGAAAACAAAATGATGGACATCAGTACTAAGACTGGAAAATGATTGACATCAACACTGTGACTGGAAAAGGAAATGATGGACATCAGTAATGAGACTGGAAAATGATTGACATCAGCACTGTGGCTGGAAAACAAAATGATGGACATCAGTACTGAGACTGGAAAATGATTGACATCAGCACTGTGACTGGAAAAGGAAATGATGAACATCAGTACTGAGACTGGAAAATGATTGACATCAGCACTGTGGCTGGAAAACAAAATGATTGACATCAGCACTGTGGCTGGAGATAAACATCTCTGATTTCTGAATTTTACCAAGAATGGTAACACATTTCTTCTTTAACCAAGATATCGCTTGAAAAGGATAAAATAACAAACTTCCCCACGGGACTTTTCCGAAGGGATGCCATTTGATGAGTAGACATTATTGTTGGGGATACACAAGCTGCTCAAATAAAGAGGCCGCCACTTGCTTCCTTCCAAAGGTGTCAATAACATACAAGCTGCTCACGAAGAGACCGCCGCTTGTTGTTTTCCTTTCGAAATTACCAATAACACACAAGTTGCTCATGAAGAGACCGCCGCTTGTTGTTTTAAAAGGTGACAATAACAAACAAGTTGCTCATGAAGAGACTGTCGCTTGCTATTTTTTCAAAGATATTAATAACATACAAGTTGCTCAAATACAGGGGCCGCCACTTGCTACTTATAACCCACAAGCTGCTCATGAAGAGCTGCCACTTGCTGTCTTCAAAGAATATCAAAGCACACAAGCTACTCATGAAGAGTCCGCCACTTGTTGCCAATAACCCACAAGCTGCTCATGAAGAGCTGCCACTTGCTGTCTTCAAAGAATATTAAAGCACACAAGCTACTCATGAAGAGTCCGCCACTTATTGCCAATAACCCACAAGCTGCTCATGAAGAGCTGCCACTTGATGTCTTCCACAAATACTAACGTACAAGCTGCTCATGAAGAAGCTGCCACCTGCCGTTTTCCGTACAAGCTGCTCATGAAGAGACCGCCACTTGCCGTTTTCAAAAAGTGTTGATAACATACAAGTTGTCCACGAAGAGACTGCCGCTTGATGTTTTTTCTTTCAAAGTTGTTAATAACATACAAGTTGCTCATGAAGAGGCTGCCGCTTGCTGTTTTTCAAGGATAACAATAACACACAAGTTGCTCATGAAGAGGCTGCCGCTTTCTATTTTTAAAAGTGTTGATAACATACAAGTTGTCCATGAAGAGACTGCCGCTTGCTGTTTTCTCAAAGATACCCATAAAATATCATGAAGATATTGCTGGAGATGAGAATCAATAATTTCATCGAGGATGGACAAACTGCTCATGAAGAGACCGCCATTTGTCGTAGAGAAATCAGAACTAATCAAACTGCTCAAATAAAGAGTCAGTCGCTTGTTGTCATGTCGATATTCCAGAAGAAGGTTGTGATAACACTGCTGGGGAATAAAGTTCATCTTTAATGGGGAACCATGAATAAATCCTTCTTGAGGAGACCAAGTATTTACATTGCGAAATAAATGCACTTTCCATCTAGGTTTCACAGCCTAGAGAGATCCACAGGGTATCGTTCACAAGAGACAAAGCTCAATCCAGGAATAAACTGGAGAGAAAACAGTCAAACAAGACTCCATCCAATGAGGAAACAACTCAAATGGGGATTTATCCTATCCAGAGATGGAAAAGGAAAGCTGAAGCAAGATTCTTCCACGAGAGTTAACTCAGTGGGGAATTAGAAAGGAGGCGCACTTTCTGCTTAAGTTGACACTCTATTTGGAAAGATCAAATACACTATTTGAATAGACATAACCAAGGTATACGAACTTCAATGACATCAACAAATACAACTGTGCGTGCATGATGCAAGTGTGAATGAATAAATGAATGCCATGTATGTGCTGACAAAACAAATAGACAAGATAAACTGGAGATGATAAGACATCATAGCACAACCCAACACTCGGCTAATCTCAACAGGATGGGAACATTACTGGAGATAAAACACAGGCCATCATTGGAGCAAGGTCCTTTTACAAGGCTTAAATATCTCTGGAGAGGAAGATATATTCAGGTAGAAAACCCAAAGTCCAGTCTTCTATTGTCAACAATCCATTTAAAGGATAACAACACGAACAATGCTTCAGTTTGAAAAGAGAAAAATCTTGCTTAGCTGGAGATACTAGGAACACCACCCTCTGATAATGTATGAAAAACATATCTTGACAAATCTGGATTGCCCCTGGGACTAATTTTGGATGCCCCAAGTTTACTGCTGATAAGCTATATGATGCATGATGATTCTTGCGAATAACTTCACTTCTAAAATTCTCCAAGCTATATGGTTGATGGGGAGAAATCGTCTCAAGAGGATTTTACAAAAGACCTGGCATTCACCATGCTCTGGTGTCTTCAAACTCTTAGAGAGATTCGTCAAATCTCGACGTGATTGCCCCAGATTGACTGTAGTTGGCATAACGAAGTCTTCAAATTTTTGCCCCAAAAGAGTAAACAAGTTGGGAAAGCATTAACTGGGAGAAGCAACATGTCCGTGCTTACGGTCTTCAGGTGACATGCTCATGGATATGATTTTTATTGACGTGATCCGCCAATTACTCAACAGAGTTTCAAGCCTCAAAAGAATGAACTCATCATTGCTGCTTATATGTGAGCTTCCTTGATATCAAACAAATGTTTTGCAGTTAGAAAAGTTTATTACGAGAATGAAAATTCTAATGCAACAGTTATGTAAGTCTTGAAGATTTTGAAAAGATATCGCACAAATTTTGCGAGTTAGAGCATCATTTATTTTTGTATAGGAAAAACATATGATACCAACATAACTATTTA